AGGCCTTTTACATAATCCCTGATGGAACACAGCACAAGATGTGCCGCCCTTTAGGTTGTTGTTGTTCTGTTTTTCAGGACGACTGCCATGTGAGATTAGGCTTTGTACATAGATCCTGAGGGGGGCATTGATGCTGAGCACACCCTAAGAGCCCTTTCCAAACACAAGAACATCTCGGAGTGGACCTACTACACAGGCCGAATGGCCAACTGTCCAGAGTGGGGAACCCCGGAATTTCACTGGGAAACCAATGGGGAAGTAGGTTGATCCTCTTTCACACCGATTGTATGGATTAAACATCCCCAAATGTTCCATCTCTGCTGCAGTGATCCTTCACTGCGGTCTAATTCTAGTTGGCCCTTCATCTTGGGATATCTGCAGATTCATTAATTATCAAATATTACCTGGAACTTCAAAGGGGTGTTTAATGGAGATCCCTATATAAGTAGTGTAGGGGCTTCCATTGGTGACCCCTTTGAGGGTGCTGGTAGATATTAAATTTGCTTTCTCTTGATCACAAAAGCGGCGGCTCTGCGGGACATCCACCAAGAACTTACGTTGAGTTGTTGGGGGAGAAAGGGGATTTCCACCAAGCTGCACCCAATCTGGACCATCTGATTTCCCACGAATCTGTTGAACATCTTTGCAGAAAAGAACTTGGACCAACATCCAATGGCATCCAATGGCATCAAATCAGCACCACTTTTGGGCTCCAAGTAGACAACCCAACGTTTCACCTCGACCAGTCCAGCCCAAAATGATCACTTCAGTTCAGTGGTCTAAGGATCCCCACCATGTCGCTAAAGCGCCGCAAGCTGTTCTCCTGCTTCTGCCGCAAGCTATTTCTGTTCAAAGTGGGATGCATTTCTCAGTCGCTAAGTAGGCTTCGCTATCGTTCTCTTGTGAAATTCCATTTGGTTTTGTCTCCAAATGATGGCATCAACCCAACTAACCCCCTTTCTTTGACAGACTCAGTAGCGTCAGTAGGCCATTGCTGGATCCATGGCCCAGAGTTGAGAAACATCGTCAAGACTGTCCACAGCAAAAGGGAGGATGTGGTCCCATGATCTCACAAAATACAAACGTTAACACCATCTGAGAAGCCTGCGAAAGACTGATTGGATCAGCCAGCATGGGTATGTGTTTCTTAAGTTCTGTCAAATAAAAAACAACTGTTGCGGGTATTGGAACTGTGTGCTTCACCAAGACCGAGGAGAAAGGTTCCACCATTTCCAGTAGCACAGAAGCATTCACTCACATATCATATTTCAGAACAATGGAAACATTGGTAAATATTGGTAACCGTCCCTACCTGAGCAGGCACAGTGTCGTTACGTTCTTTCCCCATGCAGTGAAACCTTCCCACTCGCGACACGACGGAGACCAGACACCGCGTCCTTTCTCTGTACAGAGTTGCTCAGCACTTTCTGAATATCTTCTGCACCGATGGCACCTGCAACCGCAGGTAGTCGGGCGTGCTCCAAAGGTATCTTTTTGTCGTCATGTGATTTTTACATAGAAACTGCACAAGAGCTTAATCTGTGAGGCTGTGCATGTCTTGAACAAAATGGATGTACGTCAACTACCAGAACCCTCAACCATCACATCCCTGGTAGTCTCAACCACGCCATCAACCAACCTCTTACGGATGTTTGGGCATTCAAGGCTATGTAGACGGCTTCCACCTGCTTCGAAGCTAAACGGTTTAATGGTTCCAAAGCAAAAGAAGTCACTTCTGCTCACAAACAAACAGGGCCCAGCAGCAAAATCAGCTGGCAACCATACGACTCCAAGTCATTGATGCCCCGACGCTCCGACCCCTCCCTAGTCTCTTTTTCCGAGCCCTCTGAATGAAGAACACCCATTGAGCTGGTGAATGGTTAAAAAAGACAACACACGGGACTGTGGCAAGGGACAGTTGAAATGTTGTAGTGGATCAGTTCGCGCAGCATACTGCAGCCCTGAGAAGCCAAAAAATGTCACGGAAGACATGTTGCACAGTGAAATAGACACCTTTGGTTGGAGTTCTCAAAATGTGAACGACAAACTATGGCTTTCACATTTTTCATCCAAGCAGTTTGCTCAAATGGAAACAACGCCTTCTCATGATGTCTAGAGAGAAATCCTAAAACGACCCGGACAAAAAATGTGTTCTTTGATGATGATTGTTACATACATATACACTTACATGTGTTCTTAGACAAAGTCCTGTGGAACTCTGTTCAGCACCTGTCCAGGCTATGTCCTCCGCGCCTCGCCCTCGGATGTCCAGCTGCGCGAACATCTGGCGGGTGCAAACAAAAACGAACAAATCGATGGTTTTTGGAGCTCAAACTCTTATAGAAGTGTCATTTTGACATGCTATTTTACCAATTAGTTTTACAGCTTCCGAAGGATTGACCCATTCATGTTGTTTTTCTACTGGTTCTAGATGGTTTGTACTGGCCCTCGTGGGTCGCAACAACTTAGGAGTACTTCCTGAAAAGTGAACGGAACCACAAAACACCAAAATACTAAAAGACAGGACTACGACGACGAGGATGACCAATCCGAGTCTGACCAATCCCAGGAACCCTATGGAAATCGTATGGAACCAGGAAGACCAGCCCAAATGCGAAGTCTGGACCCGAACCTATGCAGGGGTTGGACCCAATTCCTCGGGTCAAAGGCCAGCAATGCCGATCGGAGTGCCGATCGGTTCGGGACCGGAAGTTGGCTGGTCGAGTCGGGCTGCTGAAACACGGGCTGTCGACCAATCCCACAGGACCCCCCAGAGTAGTCGATCAAGCCCGGGATCTGACAGTGGATTGGTCAGTCTGCACAAAAGTAGCCTTGAGTCGCTACACAGGTGAAGCGGTGAATCCAATAGATACGAACAAATATTGTCCTTGAGCTCTTGTTAGCTGTACAGTCAGAAAGGTTCACCAAGTGTCCTGCTTGTGATACATCTGATGCATGCACATTGAAGCAAAAGAACGGCCTTTAGATATATGTTCAAAGAGAGTGCCGCACTAAATACACCCCAACATTGACATACACACTTACATCACAATTCATGTGGTGGCTACTTTTGTTATATAATTAGAAACCTATTGTTTTCAGACTCCGAAGTAGATTCTTGACAGATGCAACCCCAACCGATTCATGGCGCAATGTTGATCTGGTGCGCCCAGTCCAACCTCCATGACACGAGCTTCCTCGCCGTACCTGATGATGTGAGGAAGCTAAATGTTCCCAAACTGCTCCAGTTTGAGGGGCGTGACAGACACGTGACACTCTGCTGAGCAGTCAGGTCGTGAAACCAATCACATAACAACAAACTAGACTTCCTCAAACATGGAAGCTGAACAACAAACCAGCCCTTGTTGAATCTATGTATAAGGGATGAGAGATAAATCACCAAGCACAAACCAAAACAAACAGCCCCGCTATCACAGTGTGGAAGGTGCATGGTTTTGTGAGCAATGTCCGGGCACCAGTCCATCAATTTTCCAGGGCACCCTTCCATAGTCTGAAGATAAGTAACCCAGAGTCACACATCGTCAGACTTTGTTTTCTCTTCGAAGAGATCAATTCTTGTGCAACCTTTGGCGACCCGAACCAACCCAAACCAAGCTCCGACAATGTGTGTTCTGCGGTCCAAGTTGCCCGACAAAAGAACTGAGGGTCAAACCCTAGCGGCCCTAGCGTAGGGGTTGGGTCCTGTCTGAGCCTTTGGATGTCTTTTCATGCTCCAGTGGTATTCACACCAAAGCAATCGAGTCTGTGCAGTGGGCTGCTCCGTGCGTGGACGCCGAACGGAGCACCGCCTGAACATGAACGCCCTATATTTGGGGCCTGTACTGCGGCTGGCAGACTGCGGCAGGCAGTCAGCTGCGGCAGTGTTCAAGATTTGGAAGGGTTCTTGCTAGTTGTGAAGGACAATGACGTTTACAAAAACTACATGCACAACATATCACCAAGTTATCACATGTACACCGGGAACGCGACACAAGCAACATTATTACCAGTTTGACCGTCGTCACCATGAACATATTGATCTATGGTTCACTCTCCACAATGCTTGGTGAGAGACCTGAAAGAAATATGACCAAACGGAGTCCAGGAAAATGTTGAACCTGGTACAACTTGAATTCCCTATTCTGGGCACTGACTTCATTAACATCACAAGTATGTCAAATAGTATCCTTTCCAAGCACATGTTGAGCTGCCACACCTGCCACCACCTTGCATTGGGACAGTTTTGCCCAGTCTGCTCTGGATCATGCACCCGGTACTGTCCACACAGGGCAAAACAAGAAAATCTGTGCCTTAAATACTCCGATCAAAAGGCTTTGACCCAACAGATTTCCGGCAAGTGACGTTCCACGATCTAGCCCGCACTCCGAACCAAGGGTTTTGAAGGTGGAATTGTAAAAGGACAAGTTCTCACCTAGGCGCATTAAGGATTAAAACTAGAGCCAGAATACCTACCACACGAGTCAAATGTTGAAATGTCTGGGCAAGAAGTTGATCAATCAATTTGACTCAATGGGCGCATTCTGCAAGTGCCCCTCTATAATAAGCGTCAAAGAAAAAACAAACACATTCTGGAGTGTCCTTAGATCCTCCAAAAAAGCATTTAACGTTCAGTGGTTTCAACCCAAGACGAGGCATCTAACAGTCTCAAATGGCTTGAAACGGGTCTACAAGCCCATCGTGAAGACGAGGGTCGGGCAGTGAAATGCTGCCTGCCTTTGGGTGAATTTCCTAAAAAGAACAGCAAACATCGGAGCTTTAAGGTCTCGATTTCCTCTGCCCAGCCATATGTAGACACAAATCGATTGAAGCAATGAAACAATCAGTGAAGGAATCTGCGACCCAAGCCTAGAATCTAGAAACGATACACAAACTCTAAGCAACATGGCAAAACATAACGAAAACTGCTTGTCAAACGGTCTGACTGCCTATCTGAATGATCCAAACTTGGCACCTACCTTCGCGCTTCGCATCTGGTCCCCTCAAGGAGCTGCGCTAGATGGCCTGCGCTGCAAGCCAAGAATTGGAGACCGTCAAGTAAGTGTCTCTTACAGTAGAACAGGCGTGCTTGGGCGGTGCTGAAAAGCATGTTGCAACTGATCATTCAATTCTGAAGTGCTTTTGAGGAGAGAAAAACTTTAACATATTGCCAACAAACAAGCAAAAACAAACACTCTGGGTGGATGCCCAAAGCCCAATATGCCGTCTGGTGTCCGGAGTGGATGAGGTAGTCAAACTGCAAAGCAAATGAGTTGAGTTCTGCATGCTCCTATATGCAAACAAACTCAACTCTGGCATGCACACTTGGCAGACTTGAGTCTTGAGTTGTCCAGACCCTAGATGATCCTAGTATCCTAGATCAATGATCGGGGATTGATAGCCAAGGAGGATGAACACAAGCAGGGCTGCCCGACATGGTTTGCCCATCATTGCGATTCTGGGAGTCCCCCCATGTCTTTAAGCACCACTGACATTTCCCGACCTCCGCCCTGCCTCTCTTGCTTTTGTCGTCCCTCGCCTACGATCCAAACCGGAAGCTCCGTTTGACACACAGGGCAAGGTGTCAAGGCGGCAAACCAAACAGAACATAATAACTTCTCAAACAATGTTGAAAATTCCAAATGCATCCCAGCGCCCGGCCCACCCCTAGTATTCCTCCGACATAGCATCTGGTGGAGATGGTGCGAGCGGTGGTTTTGGGGGTGTAAGTGGTGGAGATGGTGCTAGCGGTGGTTTTGGTGGTGTCAGCCAAGCTCTAAATGGTGATGATGAATGACACATGACAAATGATATCAAATGACGAATGATGCTGTTGCTGCCGCTGCTGCTGCTGCTGATGATGATGATGAGGATTATCATGACGGCGACAATTGTTTGCTTTGCATATTGCTCACTCACCTGTCAGGATCTGTCACAGGACGATCTCAATGGTACGGTATGGTAGGCCCAGAACAACTGCTGCTCACAGTTGCGCCTTGAATTCCCCACAGGTTTGCCTAAAAGCACTCACCATGTCTTGGGAGAAGAACAAGAACATGCTCTCACATTCTCAATGGCTCCGCAAAAATGATCCCAATGGGCCCGTGGAAAAGCATAGATTCTCTACAAAGGGTCCAATTCAGTTTCCATGCGAGGGAAAGAAACAGGCTTACACCACGAACGAGTCTAAGGATCCCTTATCGGTGCAACAAGTCCTCCGTTCATGTGGAAATCGGTTGTTTGATGTTGTTTCAGTATTCCCCGTGCCCTCCTTCTTTTGTGACCCAATCAACCTAAACAATACACCTGTATAACTACCATGTATCGCTTTTGAAGTCTGGTCCGAATCTGCAGAAACCTTTGAAATCGGTGGAAACCATTCCGTTCTTACCCAATGCAAACAGCCAATGCCGCTCGCTGCCCTGATATTCCTTTGCCTGGTACGTCATCATAATCATCCCAAACGCTCGAAGACACCACTGTCTCTCCGTCCTGCCAGGGGCAATCCCAACCGCTTGTCCTCGTTGTGAACATAGCTCGGTTGTTCAAACACTTTAGGAAGTGCGGCGGCTCCCCTTCTCATGACAAACACGCCGGGTGTGGAGTCCGGCTACTACCGTCCAGGATCCTATGGCACCGCACAGAAAAGGGGAGGCCAACGCTGCACACCCAACAAGTTAGTTCCTGACAGTTAGCAGTCACCTGGTCCGAATTAGATCCGGACAAAACAGGTACAAGAGCAGAGGATTCAGCTTCAGCATGCTTCGGTCGGTGCCTCCACCCGACAGCGCAAAAGCATGCACAGTCAGGTGCTTGATCCCGAGTGTGTTTTTCTCATTCTCATCTTACGAACAGGATGTTGTGGAGTGATGGTGAGCAAGCAGTTCCTTTTAACCTGCATATCGCATTGTTAAGCCGAGCCATGCAATATTTGCGCAAGGATTGCTCTTTTGGCAATTCTGCATGCCTCCGCAAGAAATCAAGCGGAATCTAGCCTTTGCATTCGCAATCAATCAGCTCACCACTGGCAAGTGCCCAGATATTAAACCAATTATATGCGATTCAGAAATGATGTTGGCATAGTTGGAGCGCAACGCGTGACTCAAACATGTCATGGAACCAATGGACCCTCAGTGACACTGACATAACTTAAATTGTGGGAATAAACAGTGCATCGTGTCCTCGACTCCTCCAAGGTCCGAAACAATCTCCCGCAGCACTGGCACTTTTGCCTAAAGTCGCAGTTGATGACATCATAGAGCTCAGCCGCCGGAAGGTACTGAAATGTTTCAGGATATTGAGTTCGTAGCTGCCTGAGACCCTGAATTGTGCATGTCTGGAGGAGCTCGGACAATTGCGAACGGAAAAGGCCTTGCTGATCTCCACTCTGTGACAACGAATACTTGTTAGCCCATGTTGCCAGAATCTTTAAGCGCAAATCCTTGCAGATGCCACAATCATCCAACAGTGTCAAGAGCTCTTCAAGTGTTGTGTCTGATGCCTGGTCCAACAAAGTCATGGCCAGCTTCTCTTTTCCTTCCGCAGGCTCCGACTTGTAAGCATCAACGAAGACATGGCAAAGTATCATGACGAACTCATCCGTCATTAAGAAGTACTTTGCCTCACGAATCATGCTGATGCAATTTTGTTCTGTGATGCCGTGATCTTGGGTGTCACCAGTGTACATCCATTGGATGATCTTCATGACATACTGGTACCGAAGGACTTTGGGTAATGGCAGCATGTAGTCTGCACTGGTCCCTGCCATATCATCCCCAAAAAGCCTCTCAAAGAATCCACTCTTCTCCATCACATATGCCTTGTGAATGAACAAGCTCCTGTCATCCATGACGAGGCATGCATCAGAGTCAAAAGACTGATTGAACCATGCCTCCCCATTCTCTTTCGACTTGTCCAAATGCCGCAAGGGATGTTCTGGCGGCAGATCGGGAGATCTCCCCTCAGCTTGCGTCTGAGTCTCCTTCAACGGGTGTGCCCACCACTCAAAGGTGCTCAACGCATTTTTCAGTTCAGAAGAATAGGAATGGACCTACACTGACACCATCATCGAATTATGACCTCAAGGTACCAGTCCCAAAAAGCAACACACTTTCCACTGCCTTCTCCGCTTGCTTCTGCACCTGAGCGCTGCAAATGTCTCATGCATCTCACGCCCCAAAGGGATTTGTGTAAACATGCTCAAAGGCCTAACAAAAATATGCATCACCAGTTTGCAGTTTGGTGCCTTGGGGTGAGCTTCTGGGCAACCCCAGCGCCCCAAATGGACAGTGTATATTATGTGTACTGTATATAATGCGCTCCAAGTCAACACGGCATGAGTCACAAATCTATCATATGCGTTCTTAGGCTCAACACAATTATCGCCCTGGAGGTTGAGGGACTGCCCATATATAGCATGCACTGTACCACAAAAAGATCATACCAAAAGCCTGGGCACCGTCATCATCTGCCACATTCTAGAACTTCGGTCGAAGCCCAGCGTCTTGTGCAATCTCTTGAGCACTGAAAAGATATCAAGAATGAAGTGAGCAGCAGCTCCGGTCTGTCTAGTCTTGCCACATGTTTCAACCAATGATCGGGTAAGAGCAGCCATACTCAGCAGTTCAATTCATACTCAGCAGGTCAAACATTAATTGGGTTTTGTGAACTTCTCGGCTCGGCCATACTCTTTTCGAGTGACCAGGCCTGCAAAATCACATCAATCGCGCCAAGCAAACAGCCTTTACACATCATGTTTCGCTTTCGGTGGCAGGTGATGCACAATGCGAAGCTCCTTGGAGATTGTGTCGTTGAAGAGCTGATCGATCTCCTGAGTGCTGGAATGCGCGGACAATGCCAAACCAAGTTGCTGCGAGTGGATGTTCAAACATGAATCGGACTCGATCAGGAAGGCTTGGTGAAATACATGATCACATTCATGTTCAAACATCAACTTCCAGGCACCTAACTTTCTTTGGGGGTGCAGTAACCTATGCCTGGCCGCCTGGCCTAAATATCCAGTCCAGTAAGAACTAGCCACAACAAGCTTGGTGGCAACTGGCAGGCAACGAAGATCTTTTCTACTCTATAACTACCGATTGTTTGTGGCATGTGTAGGATTGTGTTGCCAAATTAAATGGTTTAAACGTTTTGCTGGCGCTCAAAACCTCGGGTTGTCCCCACCAGCTCTTGGGGGAACAGCAGCTCTGTGCGCTCGACTCCACAAGAAGCTCCTCTACCACAACAATTTCCAAGACTGTTGTATGTAACAATGTAATATATTGTATGTAACAATGTTGTATGTACCTGTGTATTGTATTGTAACATGTAACTTGCAAAAAAGAACACAATCATATGGCCACCGAGTCGGCAAATCTTCGAGGCGTACAGAACAACCAGGTCCATTGACCTGCCTTGAGGGGTTATCCAGGACATGAGTCAAGTACCTCCATGAGTCGTTTCCGACATGTGAACATTCATGCGAGGCTCTCCAAAGCCCTGGACTTGCCGTGGAATTCGGGTCAAAAAGCCCGGTGAAGAGGGTGAAATGTGAAGATTCAAATTCAAATCTTGTGAAGACTCCGGGCTTGTGGACTCAAAGGACCTGTGGTGCAAACATGACGGCCTCAAGGAACTCATAGATGGCCAAGTGGAAGGGACTCGACCACTAAAGGTCTATCAATCGTCATGGTATGGACGAACATGAAAACGCGGCATAAAAACGGCACCGCAGAGCAAATCCCTCGTCATGGTCTGCCCGATCCTCGGCATTTTGCTGGAAGGAGCTGATCATCTCCTTAGGGCCCCGGCGAGCGACAAATGCAAGACATCCACAGGCTAGGGTAGCTAGGGACACTCCGCTTGTGGGCATAACATGAACAATCCCTAGGGCTCCTGGCCCATATCCTCAGAAGGTGGTTCGACCCCCAAAACCCACCCCAACCACCGAACCTTAGGAGGTGGGCCAGGAGCCCTAGGGAATAGAGAAACAAGTAAACCTGAAAGGATCCGGTCAACATCACCTTTTCACCTCGCGCCAGATATACATCTCACTTTGCAGTCTATCTAGGCTTTGGCATACGTGTGCCCTAACGGCAAAAGCCAGGTGCTGAACTATTAAATTCACAAGTCTTTGAGGAACTTGCCCAAGCCTTTTTTGAAAGCTCTGGACATTTTCCCCCTTGCTTCTGTCCCACCTGATCACAATATTGAGCAAACTCTCTTGAAGCGCTGGACTGCTTTTGATCCAAACTCTGTGTTCAACATAAATCCTTTGAAAATAACATCGAAACCTTTACCAACACTGCACCGAAAAGGCTTTGTATTGGCTACCTTCATCTGAAACAATCACCCCATCTTGATATATATATGTACAAAACACTTTTTCAAGAAATCCCAATTAGACCTGGCTTGTGAGGATGAACTAACCCTTTGGGTTCCTTGCATACATGGGCACGCCTTCCCGTTCCAGTTGAAAGTGTCGAGATCGAAAGTCTGTGTTCCCTGTCTATGCTGGAGACCTGTAGTGTCATGATTTCACAAAAACAAAAACTGTAACTCAACACATCTCAAACAAAACATCAAAACACTGATCTTGACAAGTGTACAAAAGACCTTTCACAAGAATTCAAGACCCCTTAGCCTTGGTGTTCATATAGGTCCATTTGTTTTGGATGCCAAGCCCACGGAGAACCAGTCAAGTCTCCAAAAGCCTCACGCGTTGATCCAATAGGATCACATCGGCATCCTGGCCGCGATGTGGAAGTCTGGCCACGATACTCAGTTCAAGAAGCGCATGACCAGTTCAGCAAGCTTTCATCTGAATCTGCATGAATGTTTTCCTGTCAAAAGTGGAAATCTCTTACCCAACCTTGTACTGCGTCGGCGTGGTGTCTCGCATGGCGAGTAAAAACCTGAGGAGCAGGTGCGCTGCTTCGCAGCAAAAAAAGAGTCGGAATCTTTCAGAATGGGGAGGGGCAGCAGCAAATTGGTTGACCAAATAGACTCAGGCAGTTATTTGCATTAACGACTGGCAATTTTCCGACAAATACTCATTGGTTGCCACTTGTCAGAAGGCAGTTATAGATGGAGTTGTAGGAACCGGAAGCCCGGCCTCAGCTGACCGTCCAAAAGAGAGCGCTGCTTCTGGACCACTTGCTTGTAGAGGTCCAAGTCCTCCCCATTGCGGTGTCTGTAGTGGGCTGAGCAGGCTATAACAAGGTTCGCAATAACAAACACATGCAACATGTATGCAACTGTCGCCAATATGTATGCTCAACATGTTTGGCAGTGATAGAATCAACCAAACTGGGGACTATCTCACCTCTAGCACTCTCACTGGGGAACGATGACAACTCCGTTTTCCTCCAAGAGGTTGGTTGCTATGAATCCCATTCGCAGCTGTGACTTGTGGGGCTTGTGAGGTATACCTGTAACTTGCGTAAGAACATGTAAGAACGTACACTCACATTGCATGGAAGTGGGCACCAAGCAGACCAAGCTTCCTTGATGCCTTGATGAAGGAAATCCCCATGTTGTCAGTAACATGGTGAATAAAAATGAATGAAGGCCTTTCTCTAAAAGTAGTGATAAGAGGTAATTCGGACAGACCCAAGGATACCCAAGGAATCTTCATCGTGGATACGGGTGAGTGGTGGACGATCACAAACCCGCCCGGTTCTGAGACCCCGCTCCCCTCCGAGAGTAAGGGTTCGTTGAACCCTCGCAAAATGAGTCCTCCTCTACTTTCCGCAAGATGTACAACATCCGCCTCGGCCATTGAGAGTCTGGGACTGGCTGCGTTGACAGCTGTGGACTTGCGGCAGTCTCATCGTTACTAGTCTTTATAGTTATATAAATCGTATAAATAATATAGATAATTAGGGTCACTAGAAGGGTCCTGTTTATACCTGTTTTATCAGTAGGACCTTTTCAGGGCTACCTGCAAATTGAGCGGCTGCTAGAAGAATGGGTCTTCCACAAGTTAGAGGATGCAGTCGGTCTAAAGATTCTCATGGAGAGATGAGAGATCCATCAACAGAACTGGATGGCTTGTCTATGAAGGATCAGTTCTCCCTATACCCACTCACTTGGCTATATGTTCTTCAACAAACGCCAAAACACAACTGGCAAACGCATGCTGGATGGCTCGTTCCGTTCTTCCCTTCCGCAGTTGATGGTCATCGTGACCTGTCTCTTCTCCCTCTCGGCGCCTCTTTTCCCCTTCCGGGTCGTCGTAGTCAAGATCAGCCTCGCAGGATGTGGCAAGTTCTTAGGAGATCTGGGGAGGAGCCTTCAAAACCCCTTAGGACTGTAGATATGACAACACCAGTAAACTCTACTGTGCTTGGGAGGAGCACCCAATGATGTCCGACCTTGGGAATAATAGAGGGGTCGATACCAGGTGCCATAGACCAAACTTGGCTGTCCACTTGGGGATCCCCCTTTTGAATTAACCAACCCAGGCCGTAAAAGGCCATCTATGGGCACCTTGGGACTGTAAATTTGAAAACACCAACAAACTCTATACTGTCATATCATCTGGATGGTTTGGGAGGTATGTACCAATCACGATCACATGAATCCGACCAACATTGTTTTTCAGGACCTGGCCTTACGATCGTCATCACAGGATGTGGATGTGACATATCAGGGGAGACAGATTTGAATTGCACTTTGGACATGTTTTCTGCTTAGAACATTGAGCTGAGCTAGGCATGCTAAACATGAAAGTTGACAATCTGTACATATTATATATATGTATGCCCTGACGGCCCTGACTCGTTTTTGCAAAGAACAAGTTCCAATACATGTACAGTAATTGATTTTATGGGCTTGGCGGAGGGCGGAGCCTGATAAAAGGTACCGTTCACATACTGGTTTGTGGGGGGAGGTCTTTGTAACTTGCTGGCGGTATGTATTTTGTATGTATATTTCGATTCTCACGTTTCATCTTGACTTTTGCAGGCTCAAGTTGTCAGATACCAATCAGTAGCAAATTGACAAAGAAACAATCCAAAAAATACATGAGACATCAGATGTCCACTGAGATTCGCATATTCTGCTGGGCTTTCGCATTGTCTATCCATGTCCATTCATGCTCCAACATGGACTCTTAAAGGACCTTTCACCATCGAATCCTCTGAGGCAACAAACACACACACACACACCAGCGGATGAAGGTTACGCCGCGCGTGGCCGCATCTGTTCGCGTTTGTGGCCGCACTTCCGACAGAACACGGAGTCTGCTGCCATCACGTGCCCACAGTTGGCGCACGCCTGGTAGGCGGAAGGCGGGCGGCTACGCGGCGGTTACGAGGCGGGCGTCGGATCGACGTAGGGAAGTATACCCCAAAACCCGAACTCGTGGTGAAGGAATCCCAGTCCATATGACATACCATCAATACCCACAGTATTTAGCTATTTTGTTGATTCATCACTACTTGGAAAGCCTGGGATTTCAACAATAACTATTCCAAAGATGACAAGTATTGATTATACAATTTCCCAAACAGAAATATTCCCAACACTTCCCAACATATCACTTGGAAAGACCTCACAGTCTGTCTTTTCCCGGCACATGCACCCTTCTTTTGCTCCACCGAGCCTCCGAAAGCCAGCGAGGCGCCGGCGCGTCGGCCGCTGTCGCGTCGTTCGACGGTGCGACCTGCAGCACGTCCTGCAGCAAAGCAAAGCACGGTGGCTTTGGAGGAATCTTGTTGAGGCTTTCAATGGAGGGACATGAAGTGCCATGAAATACTGGAATAGTCAAGAGTCAATGTCATTCAATGTTATTCTTATACTGGAATAGTCAAAGATAGTCTAAGTATGTCGATATAGTCCATTCAATTTCCTGTACCCAAACTTGTGTTCATGCAAATCTTCCTTGGCAATATTCCTGTGAGTATCACGTTGGGTCTCAAGCTATTCCTGGGGCCATTCCCGCATGGCAACTGCTTTGGTACAATAGACAATAGACAATAGACTGAAACCAGCTTGGTTGCTTCCTCCCAGTCCCAAGATCCCCCAGTCCGCTTCTGAGTCAAAAGGCATGTCAAAACTAAAGACCCTACGCCGGAAGGCGCAAACTCCGTGCTTCTCCGTGCGTGTTCGGCGCCTGGTGTTGCTCAGTGACCTCCACGATCTCACGCTGAAGCTCCTCCAACTTCTGCTGCATCTTGTCGACCGCTTCCTGTGCGGTCGAAGGAGAATGGAGAATGGGTGGACAAATATGCGGACAGGGTGGAAAGTATAAGTATAGCGATGGATATAGGTGGTATGGATATGGGTTTGGGGGAATTGGTGTTCGACGACATCACAAAATACATCAAAATACCTATTGACCTATTTCTGCCAAGAAAAGAGCAAACATCCAGGTAGGAGGATCTCAACATCAACCGACTTATCCTGGCAGCAGTCCAGTCACTCCAGGCTTAGCTGCTAGCTGCAGGAAAAGTTACTCCCTAAGAACCTGCACCCGGGCAAGCAACCCATCAACAGGCCGTGGCCTGGCAAGCACATTGGCACTATTTGGCACCCAGGTCGAGTATAAAGCAATGGACAAATGGCACGGACGCCATCCATACCAATCTTTAGAGTCTAGAGGATGGCTTTTACAATGGTATGAAGATCCTTGTCAGCAACTGGGTTAACAAACTCACCAGCTGCAAACTCTTACTTCTAAAGTCCAAAAACTACGAACGCAATCTGAACCACAGAACTCGTGCCGTGTTCTCCACATCAAGATCATCGGTCATTGGAGAGTCAACATCCCAGATTTCACACCAGGAATCAGCAAATCCAAATTCTTACATCTGGCTGCCAGCTCTCCCCCACCAAAGAAGGTCTTGCTTACTTGCCCTTCTTGAAAACAAACAGGCGCATACCCCGCATACCATCACACAACCTACACCATTTGGTGTTAGCAAAGCAAAACTCAAGCTGTGCACGTTCTGTGCCTTCTGACGTTCCGCAAGGCTCAGGAAGGCATCTTCGGGGTTCTCAACCGTCTCCTGCTCCTGAAGACCGGATTTATGCGACCTGTCCGATGAAAACCCCCCTAGCAGGGTCGGAAGATCTCATTGTTCATCTTCGATTGGATGCAGATGTGCAGGGTCCAACCAATCAGGAGATGGCTGTTGCCCGATTGGACCGTGAGGCCATGGTGCCATGCAGCAAAGGCATTGTGGGAGTCGGTCATCTTCTCTAAAGTTCTACGGTCAGTTTCTGAATCTGGCTCATTGGTGGCCAGAGTTAACAACTATCCTCAAACAACGGGGGGAAGGGGTCCACAGCCATGAGAATCCGATCAACCAAGATGATCCAATGTATAGATCGAGAATCTCCTGTAGTTCAACAGGTTGAAATTGTGCTTCATCTACTTCTAGGTGTCCAACGGCACTCCAACAAGCTAATTGCACTTTCCGCTCCAAAAACGACCCGGGTCGCCTGGGCGACCGCATGTGAAACACTTCCAGCACTCCAGCTGAAGCTTTCCACTGAACCCGCTCATCACTGTGGTGGTCGCCCAGACCCAGTAGACATCGAACCAACCCAGTAGACGTCAGCTCGTCCTTCATCTTCAGCTTCAGGTCTTCCGTACGAGTGGAATGCTCATGTTCGTCCTCCGTGCGATCCCTGGCTGTTCGCTCCGATTGTCGACTGGTTCGATCGGTCGCAGGGGGTGGCAACGAACGAAGCGAAGCGGCGCTGGGAGGTGGACGATGCCGGCAGCGACTGGGGAGGCGAGGGTGGGCTATGGATGAGTATCTGTTCGATGCCGGTACTTGTTGTCCAATGTTTGAAAACTGCCTGGGAATATGTCAGCATGCTTCACCTTGAGGAAGTTTCGAGCATGGAGTACCAACAAGAGGTCTCCATTCATGAGTCTATTCCTGGGACTTTTGCGATGACTCTTCGACCTGGAGATCTTCATGATGATTTCCTTTGGTGCAAGCATACCATGATCTCCCGGTTGGCAGAGTTGGTTCATGACCCTTGATCAATGTTGTTCTGTTGTCTTCTTGCAATATACAAAAAGTCTGAGCCACCCAAGATGCACAAAGAACAGGCTGTCGACTCAAAAATGTGCGCAGATGTTCATTAATTGGAATCCATGTTGACTTCGACAGGGCCAGGAAAATTCCATGATCTCCTTGGATCCTATTGAACATCAAACCCGAGATGAAGTGGTCCACCGAGATGTGGTTTAGACTTCCAAATGCACATCGGCTTGCGTGAGAAATCGGCTTTGGATGGACCTGTTCGGATGGATCGATGAACAACGAGGAAAAATTCCTCACCTGTTGGGATCTGTTCTATACTGAGGAAAAAAACAGGATGCACCTTCTCAAAGAATTGTGGTCTCTCAATGATACCTTTAGCCTTATAAGGTTGAGGTATGGTCGAGGTATTAAAACATCTGACATAGCGAAAATATGATATCTTACCGTTTGCCATGCTTTGGAGCTTCCATAGGTGTCTGTCTTGGGCTGAGGACACCTCCAACGGACCAAGACGGAAGCTTCTGATCACCCGAAATCCCCTCGGCCTCAGGTAGAAGGACTGGACCCAGAGGAGCATGGAGGTGGGGATCTGTCGATGATTGGCAGAGAGCCTCAACCTCAGCGAGGGTCTCCCCCCAGGTGCGAAGACCCCCAGTCCTCCAGTGAAAGGATTATTGAATATTGTATAGATTTGTGTAAGTTTAAGGGAATTTAAGGGAACATCTACTAGGACACCCATGCTTTTCAGCCCCAAAGCATCCCAAAACCATGTTGGTTGTCCTCTAGATTCCCTTTCAACCATAGCTGGGATCCTGTCGATGGAGCTGGGGGTGACAGGTCCGTAATCGATGCGAACCCATGGCCTGGTGATCGGTGGTGGGAAGCTGCCATGACCCAGCACAGATGACCCGTTGCCGGTTTCAACTCGCAAACAATAATCTGAATCACTGGAGGTTCAATCATCCCAAGTAAAGGTTGAACATAAACATATCTGGAACCATCACCCAGGTGTATGGAGACCAGGAAGACCTTCCAGTTTAATTTATGTCTTTACTGCAAGGAACATCCATCCAAAACCCCTTGTGGGGGGTCTTCCGAACCCCCATTTCAGCCTCACACGTTGGGCCTACCAGCGTCCGAGTTGGAGCTCCGAGCCGTTGTTGTGCCCCGTCATTGGGCCCTCTTGAGCATCACCGAGGAGGTCTATGTTTTGTGCATCGAACAACCAGGTTCTTCAGATGTTCTTCAGTACGTGACCAAAGCTTGATATTCTACTTTGAGGTCACTTATAATAGGACGCTCTTGAGGTCACTTCTATATACTTCTAATAGGCCCAAAGCAGGCCACATTGAAGAAGTTTTTGTCTTCAGTGCATTGCCCAAGCGACCAGCGGTTCAAGCTTTCGCGCATCTCCTCCTCCGTGACCTCGATGTCTTGCATAGTCACCCGTGGTTTTGACCGGTGATGTTCGATCGGAATATATACGGATCGAACCAAAGTGACCCCTGTTTTGGAGTCAATGGTCACGGCCTTTTCCTATCAAAACAGAGGTCATATGGGTTCTATATGGGTTCTATATTTGTATATACCAGGAATATACCAGGACCATCCCAAAGGTGTCTATAAATAGCCTCTTAAGGGGTGATTCGGGGTGTCCAAGAACCACCTGTTGGAAGAGGATAGGTTCAACATTGAGGGAATCACCTGCAAAAAAAAGGGGCAATTGTATTTCTTGATCAGCAAAGCCTAGTGCGATTGTTTCGTGAGGGAGGTCCATCGCAAGTGAAAAATCCTTCCAAAGACTCGGCCTGGAGACATGTATGTCATGGAGCACAACGCGTAAGCAAAAGTCCCCCTGGTATACATTGGTATACACTACACTGTGGAAATTGGATTCGGGGAAAACTATGAATCATCTAATAACCAAATGAATCCTAATAACCTAGTGCCAGAATTCTTCAACAACGGCTCAGATCCTCTTTGGTAACAACACCCAACACTTACCATGGACCAGAAGATTCCAGGAGTGCCTTTTCCACAGTACTGCCAGACGTGCCTGGGGTTTCTGTGATTGTGATGGGATGGTTGGACAAGTGTGATCCACTGGTTTCCCTGACCAAGTTAATCTTAGTTAGACGGTAGGAAGGGGTATCCTTAAGATCCAGTGTGAATCATATGGAACAAAGGCTGATCGGACTGGACGTCCAGGCTTCCCCAGGCAAGCCCCCAAACGCCCTGGAGAGCGGCGAAAAACGCACCCAGCCAGGCTTCCCCTGGACGCCCCACCTGGCCGAACGGCGTTCCCGCCCCGGGTCCCGCACGCCATGAAATCGGATGGCACGGCGTCGACCTGGGGAGGCACGGCGCCACGAAACCCACGGACCAAAGGTCCTGGGGTGAAAATACCTTCCACCTGTGCAACATTTGGGGTGTTTTCATCTTTCCATCCATCAACACCAGCCCCAGGGCCCCAGCTCAGCAGAAATTCTTGCATCCGTTGGAACATTCAGGCATGTTCACATGATTCTCACATGATGCACCATTTATCAGGCCAGCTGCCCTGAAGTTCGATCCGGTGAGTTGCCCTGAACACATGAGCTGCTCACCCACAGAATCTGAAAGGGCGTGTCGCGACTGGTGCAGGTGCAGGAATCCCAGTGGTGAACCTCTAAAGAATGCATCTTGGAATTGAAGGTTTCACCGGACTTTGTTTCAACATGTTTCAACTATTCACCAGAAACTGTCCAATTGCATGTTTCATGTGACAGTACGTCAATTCAACAACCATGCAACACCATGCCTCCCAAAAAAACCAAAACCTCCGGGCCCACTTTCTTCCCTGCCGCGGGCCAACTTCCACCGCGTCGGTCGTCCGGATTCGTCCGGAACATAAATCCATGCCCTTCAATCGAGCCACAGACGTCGATCAGTTCCTCGCCCTTCAATCCTTCAATGCCTTCCCAGAAGAGGTCCCGATCCTCCCAGATCCGACCGAGCGAGCTTGGTCAGAAGAAGAGATGTGCAGGAACTGAGAGGGGGCTGGAGCTGAGATCTTATGGGGAGAAGCCGAGAGGCTTCGTTGAGACCAGCGAAGAGCTGCTATCATGATTACTGCATCATTGCAGCACCCCAGCAGCAGCAGTAGGAGCAGTATTAGTTCATGGATCTATCTCCTTTGGATACGTTGCTTCTGCCAAGCTAAAAAACATGATTGTGTTTCAACTGATCTAATGCAATTTATTCTTTATCAGCAACATGCACACCTAGAATCACTTAGATACACTCGAAATATTACAGGACTCCAATGGCCTACCATTCCATTTGACGTTATCAGCAGTTTGTTTTTGTGCCTTTCTTCGCAGGACATGACATTGTATCTCTGGTCATTGTATCGCTCATTTGTTCAAACCAGTTTACCCGCAGGTATGGATCTTCAATGTTTGGGTCACACCGGGCAGTGGGTAGAACACCAATGGTGTTTCACTTGATGGATCTAGATCGATCTAGACCTGAAAGGCCAAAGTTATCTTTGAGAGGTGAGTTAACTGTCTCTTATGTTTGTTTCCTTCGATGTATCTTGTGTGCAACACATTATACACCTTGAAACTATCCTTATCAAAGATACACTCTCATCAACAAAGCTTCGAAGAAAAAGCGGTTAATCACAGTCCATCGGGTCAGAGGTTGAATGGACACTCGACGTGACATTCTCTCGTCCCAAAGACCCCTGTGTGCCCCAAAGCTGTCGACCACTAAAAGAACCATATTGGACACCCTTGTTGGACACTGAAATAGGCTGGAGACGATGCCTTTTTATCATAGGCCCCACACCAATTTCATTAGCCAATCCATCCCAGTTGAGGTTCGCCGTGTACCCCAGATTAGAAGCCAATCACCTGACAAAAGCCCATCCACCCCAGTTCAGTGTCTTCGCCGTGTCCTCCCGGCGAAGGTTGGTGATATGATGTCTCAGCTGCACTTCAAGGTGTCCTTGCCAAAAGGTCCTGGACCTCAGCCGTTTCGGAGATGCGTTTCGATCGTTTCGCTGGGTACTGGGTGGCTCCAAAAATTCAATCATGCGCGCCCCTTGCTGATGATGGGACTTGATGATAGATCTGGAAACTCCTGGTACATCCATTCTTCAGATTCTTGCAACAAAACAAGCAGCCTTTCCACCAACCAAAACCTACTCAACCCACAAGACACACCCACCTGCCCCCATCTCAAGGCTTTTGTCCTCTCCACACCACACCACGACCCGCTCTCCGCAGACCGGCGGTCGTCTACGCGGTCTTCGGCACTTTGGCCGCTGGACCGGTCGGAGGTTCCGATGGCGCGGATCGAACGCGGCGCGGAACCACATCGAAGACCATGACGTGCTGCGCAGCGTTCACAAAGGTGGTCTCCCCATGGGTCCTGGGCACGGAGCAAATGGCGCGGGCCAAGGAAGGAAGGAAGGAAGGAAGTCACCGATGTGGAGCGCACAACCCTACAGTTTCATGGAGGATTTCAATGGATTTCAAGGATGTCTTCCAAACTCGAATCCAAGTCTTGCTCGGTGAAATTGGCTTCATTAGGTTGCGTGTACGGGGAGTCAAGGTCCTATCCTAAGGACAGTAAATCATTGAATGTCCAAAGGTTCCGGGCTGCCCATCAGAGCACAACTGGTGAGGAGAACTTGTCCAGAAGGGCATCATCACGACTTGCGAAGTGAAGGCGCATATATCAGGTATGAATAGCTACTTCATGTTACTTCTACGCCCCCCAAACATGGGGAAAAGATAAAGCCACATCCAAACCATGACCAAGGATTTTCTAGTCATAGCTTAGCCTAACATCCTTGAGTGAAGAAGCTGTTTGTTGCTGGCTCAGGCGGCTATGCATGTGCTGAATCTTCATTGACATTCTCCACCCTCAAGTCTAGGTGGACACAGCCCAACTCTGACAATGCAAGAGACTAGTGAAAGGCGATCAAAAAAGAACACTCACAAAGAAAAGTCAAGAGTCGGAGATTCGAGTTGACCTTGACGGAGTGTTTTTTCTCTCCAGAGAACCAGGGCGCCCGGTGATGTGATAGGGCAGCCCACTGAACAGGGTTTACGGGCCCGATGGTGCTGAGGGTGTGTCTTTTCATCCGTCATGCGGACAAAACAAAACACAACTACAAGATCGCGTGATTGTCTGCCAGTGCTAGTTCTCAGCACGGGGCACTTGCATCTTTTCCGTGGCGAGACAAACTTCACTGGCCAGCCCAAGATCTGACTTCTTCTGTGGCCTGCCTTTCCCCAAAGGAGCGTAGCTCTCACCCTCCGAGGCAAAATGAGGCCAACTATGCTTGAAGCTGTAAGCTGCCGAATGATCTGAAGTGAAACATGGTGAAACGCATGTCTCAACCAAACCAGGCCTGCTGTTTCAAGGCTGCATGACGTCTTGACCAGTTACAAGGCCTGTTCTCATCCTCTACTGTTTTGTTTGGTCTCATAAACAGGATGAGATTCCATCCGCAAGGCTGTAAGGCTGCAAGGCTGTATGAATTTGTTTGGTCTCTTAAAGGATCTTGAATTCATACAGTGAGATTCCATCCGAAACAGGGAAGAACTCTCGTACCCTAGAATCTAGAACCTGCCATGAGAGAGCCCTTCGATCAGCTGTCTGACCGCATTAGCTCAGGAAAACCACAAACAACAACAAACTTCTTGAGACATCCTTATTGTCTTGGCAGTTTGTTTGCAGGCTTGTTTTGGCTGGATGAAAGAACCGTCTCTTCACTAAATTGAATGGATGAAGGTCGTTTCTGGAAACTGCCGGCGACAGTGAGGCTTTCCAGACAGCATCCGATGAGAGTAGGGGGCCTTCTCCACTGTACCTCTGATTCAAAGAGATCCAAAGCTGCTCAGTGGTGCCTGCCTTCTGAGATCAAATCCCATCGTTTCCCAACAGCGAAGCCTAGGGGGTCTTCAGCCACATGTAAAGACTTCGGAGCAGATCGGAGAGCAAGCTGAGCAAGCAGGTTCCAGGGGAGGTTCCGGAGCAAGTTCCAGAGCAGGTTTCGGAGCAAGTTCCAAGCCTCACATGCTTTTGAAAACAGCGTTGTCTGGCAATTGCACAACACTTGGTGGTGTCTTGAGACTGTGCCACTGCCTACTAAGCTAGGTGGATTCATGCCAGCCCAACTGTTGATGAGTTTTATTGGGTTTTATTTCAAAAGATCGGCGTTCTTTTGTGTGTTCATTCTGAAACAGACTATCGGACCGTGTTTCTCTGCCAATCCAAGGTTCTCTTGCTTCCCACCATCTTCATGAATGTGTCCAAAGAAGTGGAACTGCGGTGCAACCTGCTGCACTCTCTTCAGAAGTTCCGGGCAACCGGCATGGATATCTCGCTTCACGGTATCCTCAGCCACACGGTATCGGACAGCCCCTCCGACCCGAAGAACAAGGACCTCGGCTAAGAACACGAAGCACATCGAACCCCCTAGGCCCCAAGGGCAATTCATGCTGGATTGAGACAGGGTTGGCAGGAGCTGGGGATGCAGGTGAGAACCACTCCCACATGAAGGGCTTCTGTCTTTAGGATGGTAAGTTTCACTATTAATTGTGAGATTGAAGACTGCATCTCAATGTAGGTACCTCAAGAGAACAGGGAATCCCAATATCGAAAATGGTTTCTCTCCAACCTGCATGCAAAACCTGGTACCCATCTTTGGCAAGCCAGACTTTGCTGTTTAAAAAGTCCTTGATGAATCTGTTCTGTATCTGTATCACAACACACTAAAGCTTTATATCCAAGGCAGAAAACACAATATTCTTCCCAAGAGACTATATATCTGACAGCAGGAAGAAAAACACAACAGAACCATCCTTTTGGGTGTCTCACACCTCTCAACATTCCAAGTGGCCAGAATCCCATACGGCGGACCATGGGTGACCAACACGTCGAGTTGGTCCGGAATCTCCGACCACTTCGCCACGGCGGCCGCCTCATTCTCCAGCCTTGGCAGCAGCCACTGAGGTGCTCTGACAAAAGCAGCTCTTTGGACTTAAGGTGTGCCCAAACGCTCGAAACAGCCCTTGGGTCCCTCAAAACCATAGGGATTTGAGGCGAACAGGACCCCTCCATATGAGGGTCTGACCCCTGCATATATGAGGGTCCAGGAGCATCTGGGTGGTTCCAAATTTCTACAGAACACACCAAGTTAATTGAATAACTTTTGGGAAAGGCCCTTGTCACTGTTTGGGTGCCGGTACTTCAAGACACAAAGGTCTCACTCAGGTTCGAGGTAAATGTATGGCACCGTGCACATAGTTTTGTGCGCGTACTCCCTGAGATCCGCAAGAAAAACTACGTACTGTATCTATGTCTGGACTCTGGACACACATCTTCAAGAATAACTGCAACACCCCTCGTCTCCCAAAACCACCTCTCCAAGGCCTATCTTCCTGTTACACCTCTGTATACCTCTCTTCTGCCTCCCCTATTGCGCCCCGATTCCACCTCGCCGTCACGGCCGGTCGATCGGTCTCTTCGGTCTCTTGGCGTTCAGCGGCTGAAAGGCACCACAGAACTTGGGCGTGAAGGGCGAGGCGTAGATCTTCAGCCCCTCCACCTCCAGCGCTTCGTCCTCCAAATACGTCGCCTCCGGTCGACCGGTCCTCCACCAAAAGAGGAACTGCATGCGGGTGATGATGAGGTACATTTTACGTATGGTTTCTTCAAAGGGTTTCCAATGACTTCAATCTTATGATGTGTAGAAATATAACTATATTATTGAACAATAAAACCTATATAGGTCATGTAGGACTTTTGGTTGACGCAGCGTCCAACGATAACTACATGTTCTGTGAGATCAGTTTTGGAGCAACTGAGGTCTAGAGTCATACCCTTGACCTTTTTTGACATGCTAGTACCATTTAGTCATAGCTGCAGAAGTTTACGCCGTGCGCCAAACAAATGGATCCAAGAATAAAGCCAAAAGGGAGGTCGGGTAATGAGTGGTTCCACCAACTGTTCAGCACCTGGAGCTCCTCTGTCCCGCTCTCCTTGAAGCCAAGTGGCCGCCGGGAGGAACTTGGCCCGGGCCGCCTTGTTAGCTTGCGACTCCAGGCGTTGATCCATGTTGCCACAGATCACCAGCTTGTGGCGATGAGGAAGCTCCTGATGTATTTGACAGATCCAAGGTCCCATACCCAGGTCACCTATGACTTGGTACATATCCGTGTGACATATCCAATTCCCAGGAACAGTGGATGATGGTTGGTGAAGGTGAAGGCCTTACACTTCTAATAACTTCTAAATAACTGAACTCTGTCCAGCAAACGGTTTCCACGCCACTCTTCAGGGAATGCTGTCCATCAAAACCACCATATCAAACTATATAGTTAATTACACATATAGATTTATAGATAAAAGTTGTGTATGAAGCAAGCCAAAACCATTTCATCCATCCTGCCGTTCCAACAACATCCTGTCGTTCCAACATCTAATCCTCCTCGGGCCCCCGAGTTTCATTGAACAAAACTTCGCGCTCCGCGCCCGTGCCCTGCACCCCGGCGCGCGCGCGGGCGCGACGGGAACCGCTCCTCCAACCAGCCATTGACCTCTTGGAGCTCCGGCGCAGAGCCGCGGTTCGTTAGGTCTCCGCAATGGATCAACACATCGCCCGAGGGGACCTCAGTGATCAGTACATATATATATATATATGAGCTCATGAGTAGAGGGAGTATGAGTGAACTTGAGGAGGCCGTGAGAGCGCCAATTCCCCAAACCTGGTTGAAAGTGAGATGCCCGGGTGCGGAGTTCAGCAGTCTGCCTCCTTCAGATTCAACATCAAGCCAAAATGGTACCGGTTTTGACACAGTCGATTTACTTAGACATGGGTGAAAGCCTCCAGCAAAAGGAGTCTGCCAGTGAGGGCCAGTGTTGCGAGGGGTGCTCAGCATAGCTGGCAATGGGCGTCTGCAACTCCCTTTGAGGTCTTCAAATGAGTTTTTACAAATCAAGGCCCTGATTTCTCATTGCTTCACCTTTACCGGCAAAACACTATCACTAGTCTATAGTTCGCCGCGGAAAGGTCATTCTCCCACACTGAAAGATGACTGGACTAGAATCCCCCTAAAGAGGACCGGTCAACAATAGACTATTGTTTGCCGGTGAAGGTGAAGCTAGTCTAGTTATCTTTCAATGTGATCCATTTCAGAACTTCAGTCGCTGGCTCGCGTCCATTAAACCACTGGGCCGCAAGGCATTGGTCGTCCTTCAAATTTGCTGCTGCTTTTTGGGAGACTCGAACATATTGGATCTTGAACCAGTGGAACATGGAACCAACCAAACCTGTGGTTGGAAGACCATGGGAATCCAGGCAAAACACTCCCAGGGTGTTCTATGGTGTTCGGAGCCCCACCCCGCCAGGTCGCTTCGAGGCGATGGTGCTTGTTGTGGGTGTCACTGACCACCACCACTCGCAGCGACGACATCACGGGTACTGGTCTAGAAGTCGACTGCATGTGGACCATCTTGATATTTGTGAGGTAAGCAAGCTGTTCGTGCCCTTAGCCAGGAGTGAGCGAGTGAGGGAGTGAGTGAGTGAGCGAGAGTGAGTGTGAGTGCGATTGCGAGTGCGAGTGGGAGTGAGAGTGCGAATGTGAGTGAGTGTGTATGTATGTGTATGTGAGTGAGTGTGAATGTGAGTGTGAGTGAGAGTGGTTGTTTGATTTGAAAGTAGTCTAAATAACTCTAGGTCTGTTTCTTTTCTCTTCTCTTCACTTCTGTTCACCTTCCTTGGTCCTCTGGGCCAAAAAACAGCAGAACATACAAGTTCAAGCACACTTGAGAACCCCACAAGATCAGGACGAACACATGCTATTATCCTTCTCTTTTACTTTCAAAGCTGCAGCTGCCTATAGATGTTCTGAGATCATAGGCATACCAGGAAAAGAACCAACTCGAGTCCATTTCTTTCATCCCTTCATCCGTCTGAGAACGGGCGTCCCCACGTAGGAAGGCCCAGCATTTGCGACAAGGCCGTCAGCTGCTGCGTTGACCTGAGATCGATCCCGAAAAGCTCTGTCTGGATGATTCCAATGAAGACCTCTTCCCAAAGTGGGAGTTTGAGTTCAGCGTTCGTAAAAATCCCTTTCGCCGCGTCGTTTTTGGGGAGGAAGGGGAGGCCAACACGGTCTTACAGTAGACCATCCCAGAGTTTGAGTTCGTAGATCTTAGACTCATCCCAGAGTTTGAGTTTGTAGATCTGTCTAAATCCGTTTATCACTTGGTTTGGTTGGCAACGGAAATCAAGGCAGCCGCAAGCAGTAGGTGAGTTCTGACTCAAGACTTTCATCTGCAGAAGTCCCTCCAATAAACCTGGGAAGGGTTTACAATGGTTACATTCATCATATTACAATATATATTATATCTATTTTGCAAACGACAACATACGACAACTATATAAAGAAGGGTTACCCCAGCTAATCCACAGAAAGCCATCAAGCTCGCACTTCAAAGATTTCCTTTGTGGGGATGCCGGATGCCCAACAAAGAAAGTCCCAGAGGCGAAAAAATAACAATCCGCTGGACATGAGCGGAGTTACCAGTACTCTCTGAGCATCGAACATGTATGCTCCACTCGATTGCAGTATTTGCAAGATCTGCAGGGAACAAGACTTACCAGCACTTTGGGCTTGTAGGACTTGAAGTAGCCCATATAGGTCAAAGATGTGTGGTTTGGGCCACATACTTTTTGGACTAGCTATCTCTTTTCTTAGGTTGCTCCATGAACCAAAGAACATCAAGCTTGGGACGATTGAAGAATGGTTTGCATCTTGGAACTTACCAACACCATGGCTGGAGGTAAGTTCCAAAGCTCAGCAACTGACACACAGTCCCCAAATCCCAGTGGCATCTTTTCCAAGTGCATCTCATCCTTGAAGATGCTTGCAAACCTTAGTGAAAACAAGGCTTGCGATGTCAGGATCGTCAGGAACTCCCCCGTTAGGAGGCTCTGATCTGGAGCTCTACGCATACAAATGCCATTCCATCGGGAAATATAGAAACATATGTAACACGAGCAAACAAAGCTACTATAGGTCATGTTTGTCTTGAAGTTCATGCTTTTACCTTGTTTTGAGCTTGCATGATGTTCATGTCCATGTTATATAATCACAAGTCAAACAATGGCTGCTGAATGCACAGGTTAGGTTCGAAACGCATTGAAAGGTACAGTGTACAGTCGGCGACCAAATCGTTCATTCAGGTCTGAGCTTGTGACAGACGTACACTGAATTGCAATACTAGCGAACAAAGATCCCGAAGACTCGACCACTGTTTTCCCATCCAAACCGATGGATCTCTTCAAAACCATTGGTCCACCAGGTGCCAGGTATGATCGCTATGGCTCCCAAAACTGATGCAAATCCACCGATCACGGATCAAAGGGAAAAAAAAGAACATTCTTTTGCGGGGGTCCCTCAATCCTAAGGTGAAAAGCCATGGCAAACACTCCATGGGACTGGCATTATATACCCCTGGAACCTGTTGGTGGCCCACCCGTCTTTTCACTGGTCTTTTCCTATCAAAACACGTGTTCCCCTACATTGGGGTGGTTGAAAAGGGGTTGAACATGTGTGGAGTACTGCATGGAGTGTCTGGAGAGGAATGGCACCATTCCCTGATACCTTCGTCTGTCCACACTTCTGAGGCATCCACCGGAGGATCTCCTTCAGAGTGGGATATTCTTTGCCTCCCCACACTGGGATGACTTGGACGATACATCTGAGCGTCGATCTGCGTGGTTTCGACAAAAGAATATTGAATACGTACACAAGAATTGCCGTAGGTGAATAGAGTATACATTGCAAGAACAGTAAACAACATGCAAACGAAATGCTTACTTGCCTGTCGGAAGCAGGGCGGTCTTCCAGAAACAAACTGGAGACACTCTTTGGTCCAGCTGGGGCGGTTGGTTATGGATGACCCACCCCCAGCCTTCCGTGAGCTTCTCTTGGAAGGCTACCAGCTCTTCCGCCTTGTCCGCATACTCATCGGACTGCGAGACAAGCACGCAGCATTCTACCGCAGAAGCTGTGCAAGATGTTCTACCAAGTACTGTGGGCATCCATTGTAAAGCTTAGCAGGCTTAGCGCTTACTTGGTCTTGCGCTATGAAAACAAAAAACGGAGTGGACCAACAGCGAAGGGAGCAGCATGAAGCGGCGACTTCTGGTAAATATTCAATTGGTCAAACATGTGTTTGCTACACATCTTTTGGCCGTGCGTTCCCCAAGTTCAGCCTTCTTCTTACGGAAAAAAAGGGCAAACATAGGGACACTTTGACCACCCTTCACCCACCGTGCTGGCGGATGATGGCCTCGTAGAGCTCTTGGGTACGTTGAGCCACCACCTGTTGCCAGAAGTCAGCCATCTCCTTGCGACGATCGCGCCACCCGCGCTGTTTCTCCGAATGATCGAATGATCTTGGGCTTGAGAGCAATTTGCTCTACGTCTCAGCCACTTGACCGTGACTATTCTGAGGGATTTGAGCACCCTGTGGCTTCGAACATCCTATATGGGATTGCTTGAGCTTTGTACGATTCACCATGATTGAGCGCAGTGCAAGGGTGCCAACATCTTCCAACAACCCACCAGTCTGTCCAACAGCCCTGTCCTGCTTGGCCTTGAGCTTTCGTGCTAGGGTGGCGTTGTCATACTTCTGCTCCTCAGGTCGAGGAAGTCACGGTGTACGCCCGGTTGACACCACACCGGCCATGCAAGCGATGGGAGTGGGACCAAATCATCGGATTTTGGAGACCTGGTGCATGAAGTGGAACTGGCACTGGTATGTTGGTATACCCCAGGCTCCAAGTACCTTCTGAGAAAGTATTCGGGGTGGGTTTTGAGGGTCCAAATACCTTCTTTGGATGTACTTGGAGCCCTAGAGGGATATATTATGGTGTACCACTCAGAGTTGGAAAAATGCGGTGGTCGCAGTGGTAAACCGGGTGGTTGCCACATGTTGCCACTACAAGCACTGGCTCCAGACTGGGTTCGCCTGCCTCTACCAGCACTGGCTCCAGACTGAGTTCTTGTGATCTAAATGAGCAAAGCAGGTCGAAGAAGGTTGTTCCTCGCCTGGTGCCATGCTGCTGCTCCTGGCTTCCCGAGTTGAAGGTGGAGAAGTGATAGCTAACGCAATCACTGGGCCCATCAATCACTGTGAACAATTCACTAACGCTGAATCCCTCGAACGCTCCTTGATTTGCATATTTGGTAGTCTAGCCATCTCCTCAGGCAAATCTAATCTATGCAAGTATGTTTCGGCGAGGTTCCGTTCGAAGAGGCATCCAGAATGCCCAAAGGTATCCAAAGGTTCTTTTTGGGCCAACCCCACTTGTCAACTGACTCTAAAGTCGTGATGAGGGACAAAGCAAAAACATGCCAGGATCATCCAGGATCCAATCCCAACAACAAAGCGACCAGCGAGGAGAGCCCCGTGGCCAAACCGCACTAGTTGCACAGAAGGACGTAGGACATGACACACATGTTTCTGCCAAGCTACACCTTTTTTTCCCCCCCCACCCCAAATAAAGAATAGCACAAACGCTCGCCACAGGTAAGGGGTGGAGACCATCATCGCCAAGGGGCAAAGAAGGTGGAAGGCCTCAACAGGAAGAGTGCTTCCATGTCGAAGGTGCGGGAAACATGGAAACATGGATTGGATGGACGGTATAGAAGACAAAAAAAAAAAAACAACAAATGAATCCGACCAAAATTGTTTTCCAGGACCCGGCCGTACGATCGTCATCACAGGATGTGGATGTGAAACATCAGGGGAGACAGATTTGAATTGCACTCTGAACATGTTCTTTGCTAAGAACATTTGAGCTGAGCTAGGCATGCTAAACATGAAAGTTGACAATCTGTACATAATATATATGATATATATATATATATTATATATCTGTATGCCCTGACGGCCCTGACTCGTTTTTGCAAAGAACAATTTCCAAGACATGTACAGTAATTGATTTTATGGGCTTGGTCGAGGATGGAGCCTGATAAAAGGTACAACAACAACAACAAACAACTTAAGCTTCTAATATGGGAAATGCATGGAAAAGCTACTGTTTTGAGAACAAACATGGATTATTATGTGCTTTAGATTTTCCCTGTAGAAGAACTTTGTGACCAAAGGGATTTGTAGAATGTGCATAACGTGCAGCTACCAAGAGATCAACTGCAACATACTTCCACCCTCTAAGGTGGTTGTGAATGGGGTAGGTCATTGGCGGGTCTCTACAATCTTCTCAAAGGTTTTTTGGATCAAACTGGTTTGCTGATTGGTGCCAATCAGAAAAACATGTTGTATACTGTATGCTCATCAAAATGGATTGACCATCTCAAGTAAAAGGTTGAAGTTGAAGCTATCTGAAACCAAATTGACATGTAACCACCAACCAGTTTCAGTTTGTGATCAGCCAGCAACCCACCACCAACTGGAGCTTTGTAAACGGACTTGTCACCAAAAAAAAAACATACAGTAAACAACTTGATGATCGGCTTCGCTCCCAAAACAGGACCATCGACTCCGGTCGTGAAGGCTCAGCGCCGCAGGACCACTCTCGGAGCCGCTTCGATCGATGTGTGGAACAGTGTTTCCCCGTTGCTAGCGAGAGCGGTCGACCAAACCAATGGGTCGTGTAAAATGATACGGAAACGTGGTTAATTAAATAACCACACCCATGTTAGGTGGTCGCTAGCGACCCATGGAAGGTCGGATGATCCAGTGAACTGAAGGAACTCAGTCGCTGCTCGTTTCGAGTGACATCACTATACCACTTCTCCCCCCCCCATAGGGTCGGTTTTCCCGTGATCGAACGAACTCCTGGGTAAGAAATGGAGGCAGGGATGGTGGACCTCATTAAAAACAACTCAGACTGTGGGGAGATGTGGGGAGTGTGTAGCAGCATTGGATTTGATCCAACTAGAGTCTAGCAGCTTGGAGGCTGAGGCTGAGACTGGTTCGACCGCGCATTTCGCGGTGGGGAGCAGGAGAACAATGAGAACTCGGTTTTAATGAAATGAACATTCATATTGGATGACACCCTATGCCCCTACGCAACAGGTGTGATCAAACAGGTCAAGTCCGTGGTTTTCACATCTTTCCGGTACATACGACGTGCAACTGGTCAAAACCCATCTGGCCAGATCAGTCGCGCGTGCTGAAAAGAACAAACGGATACCCATTGACCCACCTAACGAAATGTACTTTGTAACCAGTATCTAACAGGTGGGGGGGTGTCCAAAGTCCCCCAACTCCCCAGGCCATGCGGAACTCAGAACAAGGCCTATTATACCTATATCCTGTCCGCCCACGAACTCTTCACTCAACTGGGACCTTTGATGGATTCTCCCCTCCATCCACAAAGGATCAAGTCCGAAGGGCATCATGTTGGGAAAGAGGCGCAAGAAAAAGGGCAGCGCAAACTCCTTAGCATCTGCTTGGGCGGCTCGAGCAAGATGGGATGTAAAAAAGTGAGTGAACACGAAAACAACGATGGGCTTGGCGGCATGGACCGCGCCAGGCCCGGGGCTACAGTTGAACACTTCACTAATATATTTAATATGATCTAATATGAAGCCTCCAAAAGGAGGTTGCTGTATACGTATCCCAAGCACTCCATGGGACTCGGTATACAATATGCCGATCACTTGGGGTGGTTTGGGGGATCAATGTAAGCATTCATATATACCATAGAGCGTCTGGGTATATAGAATTGTATACTAGCACCTTCCAACAGGTCTCCAGCATGGAGGGTTGGGAAGGGCCCTAACAGGTTTCAATTGGTGACCTGTGAAGTCGGGTGCTGGTAGATAATTCATGAAAATTCTATATACCCAGACGCTCAATGTATGGTATATATATATATATGTGCATTTAAATCAAGGAGGAAAAAAACTCCGGAGTTGCTCACGCTTCAAGGTTGCCAGCAGTTGCCAACCCGCACCCGAGGCGAGGATACGGCGGATGGATAGGACGGCGAGGGATGCGGATGCATCGACAGGTCGTCGTTATATAACGGGTGGGGAAGTAGGTTCATGTCGGTTCTTAGGTCTAAAGGAATGGAATTGAGTCCCATCCAGGGGCCGTGGATGTGCAGGGGCATCCCTTTCCTCCACGTTTGGCATTCTGACATGGAACTGGTGGGACTATACCTGATTCTTGAAAGTGACCCTTTGATATCCTGCTTTGAGGTTATGAAGGAACCTGCAGAAGGTAACGTAGGACTCCAAAAAGGTCACTTCGAAGCAAAGAGGTAGGTGTAGTTCTGTTCTTTTCCAAGCGCTCAATGGAGAGGCCAAGCGTCAGCGAAAGGGACCACAAGGAAGAAGGACTGGCGAGCAAGGTCAGTCACTGAGGAGAGTGCCCGAAATCTCCAAGTAGGACAGTAGGACACTAATATACCTATCACATACCCGCAAAAGTAAGGATGTCGAGTGACGTGCTCCGAATGCTCGATGTCCTGTAGAAAAACACTGAACGCTTATATAAGATCTTCTTAGTCCGATCCATTTTACTGGCACCCATGTTCATACAAATTCTCGACAATTTTTATGCTTCTCTGGGCTCTGTACTTGGCCAATGTGACACATGTAAACAGCACCGTTATACACATCCGCAACAACAGCTATTGAAACCATGTAGCAGCATTGGCATGGCGGGAACCAAGCACAGCTGCCACACATACTACATGATATCCTACTGATACTTATGAAACCTCAGCGCCCCTTGCAAACATGTCAAAGCTCCCAGAAACCAATGGCTCACTATGCATGACCATGATAATATATGTTTCTCACGTCAGGGATACCAACGAAACACTCACAGGAATCACTGCCAGGTCGTTCATCTCTGCATTCGAATGGAACCAGGCCGTTCAGACGAATGGGATGAGCTTCAGGCAATCGCTGGTGGTCCTGGGACAGGTCACGATGGGGAGGATGCCGGTGAGGCACAAAAAACATGTCGTTCAAAAGAGCAGCATCCTGGTGTAATTTCGTCGCAATTGCAGTACACATCCATAATAACTACATCCATATTAATATTATTCCTTTCATGCCCTTGAGATGCTAAGCATCTCACAAAAAGTCATGGAGTTGATGAAACAAGGGTCATTGAGCGATTTGCCACCTATGACACGATGAAACGATGTCGAAAACACAAAAATGATCGCTTCTCTCTGCAACGGATGCTCCGCCAAAGCACCTTCTGGTGCCCTGTTTGCATGGCCTCAAGAAGGACAAAGATACACCAGTTCCATAACTATCAGGACGGTTGGAAGTGCCCCTCCACCACCGAAACCACCCACTTCAGGTCTGGAAAACCCCTTTGGACCATTTCCGCAATGGTTTCCACACCTCCCCACCTCCCCATTGCTTGCGCAGTGTCCTGACCAAAAGCCTTCTTTCCCGCACAGACAAGGGATAGCCTGGCGCATGGAAGGGAAACTCCGAAAGTCAACGAAAGAGATTCCAAGCTGCGCACTCTTGCACGGGAACAGTGGGGTGGACAGCGCAAGCAGGGAAGAGTAAGAGAGTATAAGCAGTAAGTCTTATCACTTCTGGACATGAACTAAAAGGTCAGACAAATGTCAGTACAAGTCTACTGGCAATGAGAGTCTAAGTCTGCTAACACTCAACTCAACGTCCGCTGTGTCGTCTGCTACGTCGTCCCGTCGCGACGGCCGGGGTCGTCCCGTCGTCCCGGTGGCCTTTGAAGACGCGCTTCGTGAGGAAGTAGGCGGCGCGCACGTCGGCGCCCAAAAGCTTGAAGCCGGTGACCGTCCACCTGCGGAGTGGAAGGAGTGGAAGGAGTGGCGGCGGAGTCGGAGGTGGGAGACAGATGGAGTGGGCTTGCGCTTTTGATCGTTTGGAAGTGGATGGGAGACAAATGGAGACAGACTTCGTGTTTGGCTTTGCTTCAAGAGAAGACATCTGGAATTCGTCTGATGGACCCTGTGAGCTGTGTGTGTCATCAAAGCCATGACCCACAGTTTGGCCATTAAAGGTTGACGTCCCAGGACGCAAACAAAGCCATAGACTGAAACAGCCCCTGGTGTCTCAGTCTTCCATGCTCGCAGGTACCGATGTCTTGTGGTCCAAGTACCGGCTCTGGCTCTAAGCCCTAAGTCGCAGTAGATAATCCTATACCAACCTAGCCGTTCTTACTCATGGCTCATCTTGACAGGAGTGCTTTTTTAGACTTTAATCCCAGGGTTACATCAATCTGGTCGCTCTCGCTCTCTCTCTCTCTCTCTCTCTCTCTATCCGCCATGTGGATCAAATCCACCTCTTGATGCTATCATGACGTATTCAAATCCAAATCCAGCTCTCCGCTCCCACCCATTGACTTCATCGGGGTGAAGACTGTGAGTCTAGCAAGCTCAAGGACTGATTCTCGGGCCGAACATGATTCTCATGATGCCGCCGTTCTGAATGCACCTACCTTTCCTGGATATGAACTGCTACCTATCGTGATTCGGATCGTGTGGCACATTTTCATTGAACAACTCAAGTATACTAGTAAATGATAGTAAATGTACCTATATGTACCTACTATTACTAGCAAGGGGCTGGGGAACTCCCTCTAGCTCTGAATGGCTCCCTGTTTCATGGTGAATATGGAATGCGAGCCGTCGCGAGCATAGAACGGCTCGCACTTGCAGGCCAAAAGGCTTGATGAAGTGCTTGGCGATGTCATACAGATCTTCGCCCCAATCGATGATGATCTTGGGGTTCTTGACCTGATCAGCCCGTGAAGTCCAAAACGGAACAGGAGTTTCAACAAAAATGGCACCCTATAGGACTCCCAGCTGAAGAGATATCGGTTAACAATCGCGCAAAAAACATCCAGACACAATTTAATTTAGAAAACACTTTAATCAATCCAGCCTACTGGGATTTTCAGGTACCAATTCTTCTCGTCTTCTGCTTTTTTCCCTTTCCGCCTTCATCCGTCGGCAGCGGTCTCAGACCTCCGTTTTGGTCTGAGGCCACGGCGAAGGCCTTGCAAAGGACAAGGACTTTGCGCCCCTTGGCCGCGGCAGGCGATGGCAACGTGTGCGGGAAAAGCGTTCCAAAGGAATGGATGGGACTGTCCCATCCAGGTTCCACGTTCGGCACCCACATGGAACTGCAAGGACTAGCTGCGACTCGTGACCGTGACAGTGACCGAGGTCACCTATGGCAACGTGAAAAGGTCACTGGATGGGACGAAGAGACTCAGGCCACTTTGAAGAAGCTGGACTGCAGTAATGAACTGTACATGTCTTGTTCTGAAGATGAGAACGCTTGTTCTTGGTCCCCGTCAACTTGCCACCACAAGTGCATTGTAAAAACACCATAAACACCTCATCAGCACGGGATAGTCCAGCTGACTTGAACTCCTAGTGAATGTTCACTTGTCAAACGTACCTCCAAGTGTCACGTGCTCCGAAAGGGGAGAACGCCGGTGGGCCGAGGGCCTGGTCCCCCACAAGAACCCTTTGGCCAGCTTTGTGCATCCCAATATCTCAGCCAAAGGCACAAACCAGCGCAAGGTTTCCATGGTCCGGTAGCTCAACTTCATCACCATCTGCAACGAAAGAAGGGATTCTCCGCACAGTACCATGCACCATTGCATGATGCCTACGCAGATCTGTTAGAAGGTTCGCCTCTGTACGCACGTTCGATTCAAGGCCCCCCCTCTCTCGACCCGGTTTGGGAAGATCGACCGGGTCACTCCAGGATTTAACAGAAAAGTGGGCATCCTCTGTCGAAATGCATTGGAGCAGCTTCATTCTCTCTTTTGGAGCAGCTTCATTCTCTCCTCACCACTTCCCGCGGATCCCGCCCCCAAGAAGCTGCCCAAACCAAGCCGCAAAAAGGCCCAAAAGGTGCCCACTGCCCACACTAAGCTGTGTCCTTAAAGCCGCCTTTCATTTCCAGGACTGCTCAGTCAAGTACTCACGACACCAAACACAGCTAATGTATACAGTGATTCAAGACGACAGTCTTGAACAGTTGGGGATGAGTTCACTATAGTTCACTTCTCCATCTGCCCTCACATCATCCGCCCTTCCACATCTACTCACCTTGCGGCCCTTCTTCACGTAGACCAAGATCTGCGACGGCAGCGTCGGCGCGCCCTTGGCCACGGCCCGCGAGGGCTCGGCCGTGGTCGGTGGCTTCGGCTCGGCCGCAAAGCGACGCCTGGGAGCGAGCGAAGTACGGCCCTTCTTGGGAGGTCCAGTGACCCTGACATATCGTTATCATGGGTGTGAACTTTTAATAGGGAGACACCCAATTGGGCCCTGCCTGGGTCGTTTTGGTCGATTTTCTGAAGCTTCCAGCAATTCAGTGGCCTGGGAGGTCTCCCTATTTGAGCTACAGACACACATGTACCAGCACATTGTACAAATCTTCAAAGTGGCAGGTGACCTGTGAAGTTGGGTGCTGGTAGACTTTTAATAGGGCATGTAATGGCATGTAGTGCTCAGCTCAGCTTGTTGGATTGCTGATAAATAAAAGCCCGACAGCCACCGGGAGATACAAAACCATTCTGGAGACGGGGCAATATTTGGTCAACAAGTCTACATTACTGCGTCCTTCCAAGACCTTTACAATTTACCAAGGTTCATCTGCCTTGAGAAAAGACAGGAACCAAAGTCTGCCAGTTGGGGTGATTCGAGGATTCAAACAGGATTGATGGCAAGTCTGGGGATCATCGTTCTCGATGTTGGAGAAACACTATATTCCCTAAGGTTCCAACCACAGCCTCAAAAGGTAGTTAGAACCCCAACACCCACCCCAACCACCTTGGAAACGGAGCTAGTGGGAGCCTAAGGACACTTTGAAATTGGCCAAAGGAGATTTGCAACAACATGTCAGACATGACGACATGACACAGAGCTTCTGAGCTTCCATCCACAGATCTCGTCACAACTGCACTTGTTTGGAGCAAACATGACATGGGCAGTGGTATGGTGGACACTCTGGGACCGAATCCTGCACCAAACGGTGAGGTTTCCTGCCAAACAGCGATCTAATGTGGAACCCCCAAAGCACTCCACAACGGTACTCAGATATACATATATATATACTGTATATACATCAAATATGTATATAAGTATATTATATATATTATATACATATGAGGTACATACACCTGCTCCTAATACCATGTCATCCCGTCATACATGAGGTCCCTGCTATGGTCTAGGTATATCTGCTTCCCGTCATCTCCTGTCATCGCATCCAGCGGCGACTGCGGTTGGGGGCATCGAAAGCAAAGGCCCAAGGGGCTCACGGTTCCTTGGGGACACGGTCCGAATGGAAGGCCGAAGCGGTGAAGCCGGGACCTGGGGGGGTGGGGTGTTTGAGAAGATCTAAGTACCGTAGGTGGGAGAGGAGCCCTTTTTGGGGTGTGTATACATATACATACACACCGTGTATATATATATATATATCAATATAGTACATATAGATGTAAATAGATTGTATTGTAAGGATGTATCAGGTACATCAGAAGACTTGGGCATCGGCATCATGGAACATCTGAATTATATCAGTTTGAATTGCCTCACATCTTGGAACTTCTGTCCCGGAAGACAATTTGAGTCTTGCAACTTTGCACTGGAGCTAATTTTTGTACAAACAGTTCTTCATACTTCTTCCAATGGTGAATATAGCAGCTGCAGAATGGTGTTGCGTCAAATTGAGGAATCACCTGATAGTCATCCGGTTTTGTCATCCCTCCAGGCAGTCATTACCTGTCAGCCAGATCCTCACCTCTCAACAAAACCTTTTCAGTCACTCTTCTTCTTCTCTTCAGGCTCACTCGGCACCAAGTCCTTGAACGGTGGTGTTTGATGATCCGAAAGTATCCCGAGACTCCCATCGAGCTAGAAGTCGCAAGCAGGACGAACCTTCAAACGACCCGGTCACCCATTCTTCCCCGCCGCGCGAGAGAAACCGGTGAAACCCGTCCCAACGGCCAGCCGTGCGATCCAAACGTCCCTTCCTCTCGCTGGCCAACACATTCCGCAACTGTTGAGAGACCTAGGGAGAGCTGGAGAAAGAAGGGGCAGACACACTGATCCAAGGATTTGTCAGCAACCTTGTGGCAAAGTGTTCCCTTGCTATACAACAAATGTTACTAATCTACCAAACAGGCATTTCATGCACTATTTCATGCATATCAGGTGTTCTCTACATCCCCAGCATGCAGTGAAGCGCCGCTCATTCCTTCTGCCTGAGCCCCGAGCAGATATGAAGTGTCGGCTCGAGGCTGCAGGCACAGCAGGCACTACCGAGAGGAGCTTCCTGGGATGGGAAAGCAACTTGAGGACTCCATAGACACATGCTTGTCAAGTAACCTGTTCGGCTCGAGCCAAATGGTCTTTTTTAGGGGCCTAGGTTCCACATGTGAGTGTGTCAGAGTGTGACCTGATGGCATTTTCACTGATCCAGCGGGTCATTCCGAGTAGCTGGTGACTTATATATGTTGACGTTTCCACCTCCATGGCACCGTCTGGATGGGAGGACTTACCGGACGTCCGATCGGGAGAGCGGACACCGCGGAGGGGCGCGGACCGTTCTTGGTATCGTTTTGTTCTCATAGAGTCGAAGCACTTCTTGTTTTGGAAGACTGAAGGCAAATGAGAGAGGTATTGGGTATTGTTTAAACACATGGCGCTGGATGGAAACAACACACATATCTAGCATCCTGCTCCAGAAAGTGGGTCCCTGAAAGACTTGGGATTTGTATGCAACACTTCATGGGCAGGTTCTTCTTGTGTTCTTCTTCCCTTCATTTCAAGCTCAAGTCCTCAACATGGATCAACCAGCCTAGCGACGGAGGCTCACCCAACGGTAGTCTTGGTGGCAGGAGGCACCTGTACAGAGAAGGCACTGGCTGAAGCTCAATAAGTTTCGAAGCCGCTCAAAGTGGGTTGAGAGTGGATGGCACAATCCCAAAGTTTGTTTTCTTTACGGACCCCCATGTAAAAGACACCTTGGAGTGCCAGTGTCATCTGCTCTGAAACCAACGTAAAGTGGTGCACCACTCCGTAAGAAAGACATGCATGAATTGTGGTCCTCTCAATCCATGTCTGCATTTCTGGAGCCACACCCATCGAGACCCATGTGGGTGTACACAAGGGATTGGCGGCAACGTGAGTGAGAACAGAACTGCATTGGATCTGCAACGGTTACACTTTCTGCTGGCGGACAGTTGCTTGCCCTCAATGAAATGAAAAACAAGGTGACACCGCAAGGACCCGAGAAAAGTATATAAACATAAACTAGAACTATCCCAGACACTCCATGGGACTGCCATGCCTACATTGACCCCCAAAACCACCCCAATGTAGGCATATATGGCAGTCCCATGGAGTGTCTGGGTAACTAATTGGTTGAGGGTCTCGTCATAAACTGCAGATTCCTCCCACCCTCCAGTCTCCCAGGTTGAGTAGAGTGAGTAGAGTTCCCAAACACGGACTTAAGTCAAGCACAACCAGGACAGCGCTGAGTTTGAGTCATCCCCCGTGAGCTTCCATTTTTCAACATGGCTATTGGTTAGAACCAATGGTTGACCACCCACAAAGAATGGACACCTGCCAGGGAAATCAGCCAAAAATGACATACAATCAACTGCCACGACCGGCCACGCCTTGTTCGTGATGCGTGTCTTCTCGCATAGCGCAGCATCACGATCCTGCGTAGCCGATGGGTGACACAGCAACTGCATGTTCCAGCCCACAAAGGGTGATTCATTCACTCAACCTTTAACAGTGAAGTAGGTTAGTTACCGTTGCGTTTTCCATCAAGGATTCAACCTGCCGTTGGCGTTGGCAAGCTTTGAGACAAACAAAACAGCTCCAAGGCTGGTTTGCTCTCTGGCGAGGTGTCATGCGTTCCTCTCATCCAACTAATGACACCCGCCTGGGAGACAAACAACACGCAAATATTACCGGCTTCAATATAGCGGTGGAGACTATTTTGGATGTTGCTGAGGACTGAACCAGTTGTTCACAAGGTCATGGTTTCAATGGTTTCATAACCCTGCATTTACTTGCTCCGCGTTGACATTAATTGCCCGAAAGCACATCTATATATATATAATGAAATTAATAGTCGAATCTTGCAACAAGCTTTGCCAAGAATCGAACTTCTGCGGCAGCCTGGAAGGAATAATGTCCTTAAATACTTATCCTTAATAATTATCTTAGTCAAAACGCATTCTGCACCCTTCCTCGAAGGCTCAACGAGCTAGGGCCATGCCAACACTGCCTATGCTGGGAAGCCTGAAATTCATTCAAGAACCTTGCTCAAATGTCAATGCAGGCATGTGGATTTGCTCTGTCTGGACTCTTGATATAGAGAAGAGAGCTGACAACTGACAACTACAAAGTTCTGGTTGAGAGTGTCAACTTGTTCTGGAATGTTTTTGGATGAAGTATAGTGTTTGATTGTTGATGTCAGTCAAATTAAGAGCCTACGTTATATGTGGTCATGTGACAGCTCAACTTGGTCGGTTTCCAAGCCAATGTGTTTGCCATGTCCAAAGGTTAGTCTGTGCTGAGATCCTATTTCCCAACTGATTATTGACTTTGGTTCAAGGGCAAATGACTCAAGTAAGTATGGACCAATAGGTTTTCATCGGCATATTATTTCCGTGTACAACTGTTTTGAGCCCAACTGTCGGTTTGGAGAAACTCTTTGGGGCGGCAACGCCAACGCCGAGTTTCAGCATGTTTCAGCATGTCGTACATGGAAGCTTCATTGTCCTTGGGTGTCCTTGGAAAGTGAAGATCCTTAGGGTTTCACTATGCTTGGGTGCTTAGCTCACCCTAAGCCAAACGCAGAATCCGCCCCATGGGCGAACAACAGTGCTCCAGGGTTCACGGTGCCATCAAAACAGCCAGGGCCAAAAATGGTAGGCCCTGTTGCAAACCATGTATCAGAATCAAAACTATTTGGCCAATGGGTAACCCCCCTTTGTTTTTGGTACCAACATCTGCAATCTATTTGGCAAAACAATGACTAATAACAAAACTAGTTGGCCACGGCCATGCTGCAAATCATTGCGGGAAAACTATGTTCAGCTCAACTCAATCAGAATGGCGGGGAACAATGGGCTCATATGATATCAATAGGCTTGCGGCAGACTTGAACATTTGCACAAGAGATGTTGTGCAACCTGAGAAGATTTGCACAAGATTTGCAACCTGAGAAAACTAACATCCACGAGTACCTGAGATCCAGCGACAAAGCCCTTGGCTGCAACCTGAGACTTCCTGACAAGGTAGATCAGCGGATGGCAGCGTCTTACTCTCGAGTGGGTCTGAGAGGCGAGGTTTGAACGTTCCTACGTGACTCGTCGTTCCAGACAGCCCAGTCGTTCCTGGTAAACATGAAGGCCAGGATCCACTGTCAACTACTGAAGGCCAGGGCGGCCAGAGTTGATTCACACGTGTGAAACTCGGCAAAACTCCGCAACCACTCACCACTCTTCCTAACCACAGGCCACGGGTGTGGTCTAGTAAACCAGTAATTGTTTGGTAAATCGTCAGCATCCACTTTCTACTACCTTCAAAGAAGGCTACTTTCAAGTAATTGGACAATCAACAGCACCCATGTTCCAACCTTCCAGGGTCGGGAATCAGATTCCCGCTCTTCCAGGGTCGCAAACCTCCCCATTTGCACCACGGTCGCCCCACCAGGGTCGCTTCAACCCCCCCCACCACCAGCCGTGGCAGGAAGCTTCCGGCGCACACGTCCATCGGAATCAACGCTGCAACAAACAATGTGTAGTCTACCGTGCCTCGGGACCGTAATCGGCATAGGAAGACAAGCACAGGAAGAATTTCTTTTATCTAAGATGTTTAAGACATGTTATAAGATATATATATATATACATATACCTAGAACCATTTGACCTCTGTTTGTAGGCAAAGGAAGAATTTCGTCATTCTACATGTTTAAGAGATGTTATAAGATATACCTGGACCTTCAAAGGGGTGTTTAATGGAGATCCCTAAGTAGTGTAGGGGCTTCCATTGGTCCGCTGGGAAACCGCCCCAGACCGGACTCTAAGATGCTGGTTGGGGATATTTCAGGTGCTATCTGGATCCTGAGGGTCTCTCAGTCAGTCTGCATCAATGAAACACACATTGAAGAAGGGTGATGTTGGGGGAAAAGATGGATCGGCTGCGGCTAACACAGGGATAGGAAGGAGGGATGTAAGACTCAGTATGCACTGAGTGTGGTGTGTACAAAAAACTAGATGGTCGATCTCCGAAAGCCCATCCTGAATTTTCAGCGGCGCTGTTCTGGAAGTTGAATGAAGGCTGGACCACTCCCAGATTGAATGTGTTGAGGAAAAAGAGCAAATCCTTCAACTCTGTTTGCGACTTCAACGACTCGACCATAGTACAAATCTATACAAATGCAACAGGTGACACTGACAGTAATCTAACCCAATCTACCAATCCCACTGAATACAACATGTTACCTACCTTGGGGATCCTTGAGCCTTGGGGGTGATTTCAGGAATGAATCTATATCAGCCAATCTTCATTCGGGATTCGACCCTGGAATCCACACATGGATTCCCAAACATAAACAATAAACACCTCTGCAACAACGACGGGCCGTGCACGTCGCGGCACGTGATTCGGGCATCCGGGCCGTTCTTTGAGGCATCGAGTTTTTCGACTAAGACTTCCAGCTCGGTCAAGCTGACCAAATCCTCGCCGATCGCTTGTGCGGGCGAGTGGCGGAGGGCGAGAGGTGGATGGATGGATGGATGGATGGATGGATGGATGGATGGATGGATGGATGGATGGATGGATGGATGCGCAAGGGTAGACACACACATATATATATATATTATATATATACCCCCCAGCAAGCTGCGGAAAAAACTGCACCCAGCACGTCGACGTGTTCGACCCCCTGGCAACCAACGTCTTCGGTGACATGTTTGGTCGATCCCAATGGAGCGATCCCGTTGCCCTGTATATCCAAATGAGGGAACTTCAATGGGCTAGTCTGTTGCTGTGCTTCCTTGCAAAAAGAATGGGCAGTGCGTGTCTACATATTTTCGACGACTGATGTAGGTCACTGGCATGGCTGACTTGGCCAAAAGATCCAGTCTTTTTGCGCTGTCGATGAAGGACGGGGCACTGCCTTCCGCGATGGAAACGACGACGAAAGCTACTGCTCCAGTCAGGTAAGTGCTGACGCCGCTACAAGCCACTCACCTGGGTTGGACCTGATCAATTCATTCCACGCTACTCTCAACAAGTGCGCCAACATGGTTTTTTAACGCTTAGTATGGGTCCAGAATGTGCCATGGAGTCAGTTTCAATCAGAATCTGAGCCTTCAAAACATGGCAAAACCCCTCAGTTTCCCTGAGAAATACATGATTAACCTGCTTCCACCTGGTGTTGTTTAGTCGATAAACCCATTCCCCCAAAAGGTTACAGTAAAGGTTAAAGGTTATCCACTTTTTTGGGTAGGATGCGTGTCCGTTCCCTTTACTAAGAATCTGCCAGGTGTGTTTGGAGAGTCCACAAAAACTTTGAGACACCCACGCACAGTGAGAAGGCTGCACTGTATAGTCTAGAATCATGTATATGCAGTAATTAGTTGATGTATGTTGATGTAACTAGGCGCCCAGTCTATAGATGCACTATTCTAAACGCATTTGCAACTACAAACACTCCTAGAAGATCCTGGAGCGGCTGGCTGCTGGCAAGTCAGCTGGGATCTAAGACACCTTCGACACGTGCAGTGGCTCACAGTCTGGCGGCTGGAGGATTGCCAGTGTCCTGAGCAGAACCGTCGGTCTGCCCGGTCTACCCCGGGTCAGGTCTACCCGGTTGTGCATCGTTCTCAAACAAACATGGTTTGTTTAATGGCATGGCATGGATAGTCACTACATGACACTACACTTCTCGCTACAAGCAGCCCATGTTTGTTGAAGGGAGTCAGCAGCACATAAAAAAAGCACACTTGCAAACTGTTCATTGAGAAGAGCACCCTAAAACCCACAAAACCTTTTCATGGTTCGAGGCTCACCTCGGCTGCCGCGTTTTCGTTTTCTTTCTCCACATGGGAAGAATTCCTGGAAACAAGTCAAGAGATCAATGCACACGTTTCACGTTGTCAGCTTCCATAGCCTGCAAAAAAACATCTGCCACAAAATCACAACCTGAGTTGATCCAACAACCTGAGCTGAAAGCACCGCATCCAATACATTCCGATATCACTCACACCCCCAAAAGGCCACACTGGACCTATGTTAACTAACTTGTGAAACAAACAACAACTAATATCTAAATATCTATCTATATCCAGATTATTTCATATATCACATCATATCACATGTTGTACAATGAGCTCGAACCGCCGCTCGAACTGCCCCTCTTCGACTCGTCGGACGGTCGCTCCTTCCAACGGCGGATGGCCGTGAAGACCTGCGCGGCGTCCGCCAGGCCACCTGCGGCCTGAGGAGCACGTGGAAAGATGAAACATGGACGGATGAGACTGTTTAACCATGGAAGAAAAAAACACATTGGGAAGGGGCCTGAACCCTCCGTCGTAGCAGAAAAGAGGACTCAACAGAAATAAGTGTTACAAAGGATGCTTCAGGGGAAAAAATAACAGGTTGCAACCTTTTATCATGACTCAATGGATACTCAATAGAGTCAATATCGCACACCGGGACCATGGTTTGTTCGACTCCTCCAAGAGTTCGGCCGCTGGTTATGCTCACTCGCACGGCCCAACACGTGAGAGGCTCCCACTGGGACTGGGGGAGTGGGTGCCAGACGTGCTGTGCGCGCTGAATCTCATGGTGCACGCTGACTCGGGTGGATACAGCGGATCACGGATCCGGTCGAGTTAGCGGCCATCAGGGTAGACCGGTGTGCAGTTTGGTGAAAGCAGTCAAGTCAGAAATGCTTGTGGGGTGAATGAGCATCATTTCTCCAGCTTGATTTCCGGTCAACCATACTAGGCGTTGTTGGGATCGACTCCTCTGAGACAAATGAAAAAGGTGGAAACGTTGTATCCTGTACAACCGTCTTCAAGGGCGTAATCATTGGACCTTGAAACACTGAATCACTCTAATTATGGGTAACACCAGCCAATTCATCTGCAACACTGACTGATCAGCGTCCAAATGAGGGGGGTTCCACCACCAATGTGACACATGCATCCTCTATATCTGCATACACATCTGCATATACATCCTACATCTCTAACAACGTCTTCCAACCAGTACCCATTTCAGGACCGGCGGATCCGCCTGTTGCACCGCAGGCACATCCCACCGCAAGAAGGGGTTCGTCGCCTGGATGGCGATGGCGGCGGTCCGAGGGACTCCAGGCCGGATCGCTCAGCGGATCGCTCAGAAGCCAAGAAACTGTTAGTTGATATATGAGTGCTGATGCTTCAAAAACACAAGTCACCAACAAATAGCTCATTTTTGGAGTTACTTGAGTTGCACTGGAGTCCTTTTTTCCCCACCTGTCAGGTGAGGGTTGTTAGATTTATGTCAGCCCCATCTCCTCCTCCGCCTCCTTCTCCTTCTCCTTCTCCTCCTCGTCGTCCTCCGCCGGACCTCAACCACGACCATCCACGCCCAGTGTTCCCTGCCGGACCTCAACCACGACCATCCACGCCAGTGTTCCCCGCCGGACCTCGCCCAGTGTTCCCCGCCGGACCTCAACCACGACCATCTGCGCCCAGTGTTCCCCGCCGGACCTCAACACACAATTACAAACAGAAAAAACACAACCACAAACACACAACCAGAAACACACAATCACAAACACACAACCACAAACACACAACCACAAAAACGCAACCACAAACACACAACCACAAACACACAACCACAAACACTCAACCACAAAAACGCAACCACAAACAAACAATCACAGAGACACAACCACAAACACACAACCACAAACACACAACCACAAAAACGCAACCACAAACAAACAATCACAGAGACACAACCACAAACACACAACCGCAAACACACAACCACCAACAAACAACCACAACCACAACCACAAACACACAACCACAAACACACAACCC